TAATATTTTATTAGAAAAGGGAGAAGTGTTTTAGAAGGGTGAAATCTGTTAACCTAGTAAAGGTGTTAAATATAGCCCTGTCCTCAAGTTAGTGGAGACTTTCATATACTGCTATGCCAATACATTATTATTTTGCAGACTTAGGTGAAAGTACGGAAACAAGCTTGTCCCAGTTAGCCTGAGGTTTCCCGAGGCTTAGCACTAAAAAAATCACTTGTGTGAGAAAAACCCTCTCAGTCCTAGGGAAAATAGGACAGTTGATCCCCTACCCAAATAAATGAGAGATGTCTGATTTCTTGCTTCTTAAACTCTGGCCCAGAAATACTGAACTTAAAATGGCATTTTAACAAGATCCCCAGCTGATTTACAAGTATCTTGACATTTGTGGAAACAATTGGAAAAGTTAGAATTGGTACTGGGTCAAATTAAGTATACGAAATTTCCTCTTCAGCCTTCTCTTATCCAGTTTTGGTGTGCTCCCCCCTCCCCACTCCCCAGCCCTTTTGAGGCCCCAGCACTTGCACGCCTTTAGCTGTCCAAGGTCTCCTACTCTTACGTCTACTGCAAGGTCCTGCCTTCCCTGAAACTGCCTCTTCTCCATCATGGATTTCTCACTCTGTCTTCCTATCAGAATATATCTGTCCTGAATCTACTTTTGACTTGGTATTATGTTAAAAAATTACATATATAGGCCCTCCCTGGTGGCGCAGCTGGTTAAATCACAGCACTAAGAAGCTTAAGCCACTTCCGCATGAGTTCAATCCCCATGTGGAGGTGACCACATGGCACGGCAGACCTCTCCTGACCCGCCCGCTGCTCTCCTCAGCAGTGTACTTCATCGATCTGCCTGTTCTGCTCCCCACTCTGTCCCTGGTGAATCCTCTCACCCTCCACATCTCTGGCCTGTACCCCAGTTCTGTATGAATAAATAAAATAAATCTTAACAAAAAAAAATTACATATATAATGTAATTAACTGAAACAGTACAGACTCATATATTTGTAGTGTCACCTCCCCCAGGTAACACATTTTCATTTTTTATCAGGGAGCTTGTAGAAGAACTGTTGCAATTAGCAGCTATCATGGTGGGAATTCTAGGGATCAACGCTGGTCAGAATTGTGAGGGGGGCTCTTAGAGCCCCCTCAGTTCACACCATGACATAATATTTGCTTTCTCCATGCATAGAGAATCTACAGGGTAAGTAAGATAATTCCATGTAATTCTGGCTTATCGCCCAAGTTTTAGCTGTGATCTGCAGGCTACAGCTGAAGATGCAGCATAGCTGAAAACCAAAGCATGGCAAAGTATTGAAGAACTCACTCAATCAATACCTGCTTAAATTATCTATTGTCGAGATTAATCATGATCTTTTATTAAGAAGTTCGGATTCCATAAGAGGCTCAAGAACTCAGGGAGGCAATGTGGGAGAGGCAGTATGTTGAATTTAAGTGTGAAGGAATCACCCAGGGTTACAGAATCTCAACAAGGACTCAGGCTGTATCAGCATCTTCTAGTACTATCATCGATGGTCAGAACAAGGCCTCTTTCTACCCATCAATGAAGAATGCTTGCCCTTCAAAGTATAAATAGGGTGTGATCAAAAGAATTGTCTTCGCCGGGGAAGGGATAAAGGATGTATCCAGTTCTCTAACATCTCACTTTATAGATATGCCTGTGAGTTGAGAGCTTTCAATGTACAAGTAAATTGTTTTGAAGATATTAGAAAAAAGCAGTTCAATATTCATACTAATAGACTTGAAAACTATTTATACCTGCATTGTTCTTATACTGTTTAATATATTTTACTTTTACCAGAATATATGACTGCATCGAGTGCAGTTAATAGTATAGTTATATCAAATCAAATGTGTTCCCATATGATTCTGAAGGCTCTTTACGTCATTACTGTGTCCAAAACTTAAACTGTCTCTGGGCAAAAAAATGCACATGAGTAGCTATTTCCAGGACATCTGGAGAAAGCAGTTCTAATGTATTGTAAAGCTAGAGACTCACATTAACTTCAAAAATGAAGTGAGAAGCATCACCGTTTAGTCTAACTTCCACCCAGATCAATAGGAGTATGTCTTTAAGAGTATCACAAATCTTCGGGTTTAAAATAAATCAGAAAATCCCACTGACCTCTGACGAATAACATCACCAGATTCAAGTGTACCAGTTTGAAAGACGTCTTATCCTGCTTCTGAACAACACAGGTATACGTGCCGTTGTCTGATGGGCGCAGAGCCAGGATCACGATGGAGAGGTTGTTGGCGAGGAAGAAGGTGCGGTTCTCATACTCGGGCCACCATTTTTCTTTTCCAGCCATGAGAGTCATCACCACTGCATCTCCCTTTTGCCAGTAGATGCGAACCCTCGCCAGCTCTTCTGAGGAAATGTTAAAATTACAGGGGAGTACCACTTTGTCTTTCACTGTCTTCTTTACCTCGATGGTGCCTACGGAGAAGCAAATGAACAAGATTGTTATATGTATTAAGTACACAGTCCTGCAGAGCTAGCAGGAAAAGAACCCAGGCTGTTGCATCAAGTGGCTGAGCATGACCAGAGAATTCAGTATGACTTTGACTATTTTGGCCCTAGTACTTTTTTTCCCCTTCACTTTTTAAAAAAAATGGGATTAACCAAATAACAGAATTTACCATCTGAACCATTTTTAAGTGTACAGGTAGTAGTGCTAAGCATACTAACACTGTTGTGAAACAGACTTCCAGAAATTTTTCTTCTTGCAAATCTGGAACTTTATAAGCACGAACAACTCTCCTTTTCTCCCTCCCTAGGCAACCACCACTCAACTTTTTTTTTCTATGAGCTGGATTACTTTGGATACTTCATATGAGTGAAATCATATGGTATTTGTCATTTTGTGACTGATTTATTTTACTTAGCACAATTTCATGAGGTTCATTCATGTTGTGGCACATGGAGAATTTCCTCCCTTTTTAAGGAATGATAATGATAATAATAGTGATGGTAAAGAAAAACATCCCACTAAATATATCCTATATAAATATCCTATATATATATGTACATATATATATATACATATATATTACACACACATGCACACACAGGTATGTATATAAGTAATATATAAAAATACACACACCCCACATTTCTTTATCCTTTCATCTGTAGGCTATTTTGAACACTTTTTTTTTTAAGATTTATTTATTTATGCATACAGAACTGGGGTACAGGCCAGAGGTGCAGGGGTAGTGAGAGGATTCACCAGAGTCAGACTGGGGAGCAGAACAGACAACTGAGGAAGTACACTGCTGAGGGGAGTAGTGGGCGGGTCAGGAGAGGTCTGCCGTGCCATGTAGGTCACCTCCAGAGCCAAGGATTGAACTCATGCTGAAGTGGTTTTAGCTTCTTAGTGCTGCATTTCCCTGCTGCACCACCAGGGAGGGACCTTGAACCACTTCTTATGGAACCCATGATTGCCAATTAGGCCAAATATGAAAGTGAATTATCTTTTCAACATCCCGTTTTTAATTCTTTCAGAATATATACCCACTAATGGGTTTGTTGGGTCATTAAGAGTTTGTTTTTCATTTTTTTGAGAAAATGCCATATTGTTTTCCATAGCAGTTTCTCTGTCGTTCTTTGTAAGTCATTCTTTAGAAAACTTAAACCATTAAGTTTTCATTATTATGTGACCATTATGTGATACTTTTCTTAAGGATTTTCAAATGATATGTAGTAAATCTGAACCTTCTTCTAGATCAGGGAATTGTTAGTGCTATTACTTCTTATTTTCTCAATCCAACAGAACACCACCCCCAACAGAAGTCAGCCCTGACCAAGGTCCTGGGGGTGGGAGCAGGTGGAAGGAAGCCATTCCTGCCCATCTTTGTCTGAATGCTTTTTGTGAATCACTCTCCCTACTGTCTGTCATCTCCTATTTTGCTTCTTCTGAGCTTTCACTTTGGAGAAGAACAAGTATTTCATTTAATCCCCCTCATGGTGCTGTAGATAGCTATTATGATTTTTTCATTTTAGCAGTTTGTAATGTGAGTTATATATAAGAACACTGTATTTGTGCATCTTCTCAGTTGTTTCTTTCTTGTATTTGCCCTTTTCCTTTTCTACTTGATGAGATTTGGCTGTATGCCAGGACCTTTTGCAGTCTTTGTCCAGTTTCACTCTAATCATAGCCACTTAGCAAGGGTGAATGCCCACATGGATGCTTGTGCCATTAGCCTTCCCTCAGGCTCCTGACCAATGTAGATGACATCTCTCTCTCTCTCTCTTTTTTTAAAGATTTATTTATTTATGCATACAGAACTGGGGTATAGGCCAGAGGTGCAGAGGCGGTGAGAGGATTCACCAGAGACAGAGTGGGGAGCAGAACAGGCAGATCGACGAAGTACACTGCTGAGGGAAGCAGTGGGTGGGTCAGGAGAGGTCTGCTGCACCATATGGGTCACCTCTGGGGCGGGGATTGAACTCATGCTGAAGTGGCTTTTAGCTTCTTAGTGCTATGCTTTAACCTGCTGCACCACCAGGGAGAGCTCTGACATATTTCTTCCAGTAAGTCTGGACTGCTTTGCTATCTGCTCCCCTTTGTGTTGACCTGAAACTACCTTAACTTTATCATTCTTCCAGATGGGCATGAGTGCAACATTGAACATCTGCCTCAGTTCTTTAGAATGTGGGAAGGTGCATTAAAATATCTTTTACAACTCTTGTTCTCTTCAGATATGACAAGGGGACTGAACTTCATTCTGGAGGCTGGTGCCTCAGTGATGCCAAACAAAGGGAATAATAGATAGGTGTTATTATCCCCATTGTTTGTATGAGGCAACTGGGGCTTGAGAGATTCAGGAAATCTAGCAGCGGGTCAGAAGGCCTAAGATTCCAGGCACCTCTTGGTCTGCAGTCGTGAGGGAAGTCTAAGGACAGAGATGGAGAAGCCATCCAAAAGAGGCTCATATTTTAAATAATACAAGTCGATTCTCACTTCTCACAGATTCTATAATTGCAGATTCACCTAGTCTAGGATTTTTTGGTAACACCATACTCAGTACTTGTGATAATTTTACAGTCATTCACACACATACACCGAGTGGCCAGTGATGAGGTAAAGCGAGGAGACACCATGCCATCTCATTTCAGCTCTCGGAGTATAACCGTACACACTTGGCAACCCACTAATGCCATAGTTTTCATATTTTTATTCATTTTTTGATGGTTTTGTTGTTTAAAACTGTGCTGATGTGCTGGCTAAGGTTGTGAAGTAGCTCACAGAGAAAATAGGTGTGTTAGGTAAGCTTTGTTCAGGCATGGGTTATAGTGCTATAGCCATGAGTTCAATGTTAGTGAATCAATAGTACATACTCAGTGTAACTTCTTGGGCCCTCCCTGGTGGCACAAAGGGTTAAAGTGCAGCACTATGAAGCTGTCCGCAGCCACTGCGGTAAGAGTTTGATCCCCAGCCAGGGAGGTGACACGCATGGCGCAGCATACCTCTCATGTCTCACCATCGCTCCCCTCAGGAGTTTATTTCAGTCAATCTGCTTGTTGTGCTCCCCACTCTGTCTCTGGTTAATCCTTTCACGGCCCCCCTAACCCCGCCCCCCATCTCTGGTCTGTATCCCAGCTCTAGTATGCATAAATGAATAAATCTTTTAAAAATAAAAATAAATGAGGCTTCTTGAAAACAGAAACACACATACTACAATTTGTCAGTTAACAAAATGTCATCAGAGGATCACAGGAAACTAACCCTCTATTACCCTGAACAGCAGTGGTTCAGGATTTACTAAATTCATTGTTGTCAAGCAAGTGAGTGCTAATAACCACTACAAATAATGACAATCAACTGTACTTGCATCACCTATTTAAAATACATACCCTTTGCTGGAGAAAGTAACATGCTTTTTTGGATATGTGACATCCATTTCCTTAGAAATTCTTGTGCTCCAGATCTAAAACTGAAACCCTCCAGGGAGTTCATTTTTTAGAAGACCTCCTCCAGGGTTTTCTGCCCTAGTTACTATCAACACTGGGAAGTTAATAAGATACTCATTATAAAGACCTCACCCCTGGAACTCTCCATTTTCTATCTGTCATTTCTACAGCCTCTGTTCTCCCAACTGCATATAGTACAGCAATGCACAGAACATAATTGCATGTATATGCACCACTTCATTTAAAATGCAGAAGTGTAGGAGAATCTATGGATAAATTTTATGCAAATTTAGACAGCAAGAACAGACTTATGGGACTTCACTGACTGACTCAGGAATAAAACCTTCCTGTCTTCTGAGTATACACTATGATCCACTCTCTTTTCACCTGACTAATTTGGAATTTGAAGCTCTCAGAATTGAACAAGATATAAAAGAGAATCATGAGTGAGTGTTAATGCCTCTACCGAGAGGCTGCTTTGTGTGTTGAGGTGGAAAGAACATGGGTAGTCAATAAACTCCATGTTAGTTGTGTAACCTTAGGCAACTTAAGTTCTCTGAAGTCCAATCTTCTCACTGGTTACTATAAGGATAAAATGATGTGATTTATATCGAGCATAATCTTCAGATTTTTAGGCCTTATTTAGGATAAATAAGCCAATACTGCTCTTCTCCACTCCAGCCCATTCTCACTACTTGACTCTTTTGTTTTAAAAAGCAGAGTCCTTTTCTTTCCACCTTGTGACTTTAGGTTGAACTGACTAATTCTTCTCATTTCCACCAGACAAGCCTCATTCATGCTCTAAAACTATTCCTGCCCTCCTCAGTGTCCTAAATGGATCTATATCCTTTATGTATCTTTCTGGGGTGTCTGTCATCCATGCAACAGTTGCCTTCTAGCTTGCTGTTGCTAAGAGGGTCCCAACTGAAACATTCTGCTCTTTTCCCCAATTGTATACCCCATGGATATCAATATTTCAGCATCTAAACTGGGTCTCTGTTAGCTCCTAATATTCACCAATAGCACCAAATGTATCATAACCGTCATTTCCAATTTGGGAGTTCAAAATTCCTGGTCATTTTTCTATTATATTTGACCTAAAGTAGCATCCCTCTAAGGCCCGAGTTCTTTCATGATTGACAGTCCGTCCGCCCTGCCCCCCCATCACCATGCTGCTTTCTCTCCCTTATGCCCCATATCCACAGAGCTATACAGGTGCCTCAGGAAGGTCCACATCTAGGAATCTCATTTCTAGGCCTGCCTGTCTTTTGACGGCAGTCATGGGGCATCACCTCTCCAACTCACCAGTCACTCTTCAGGCCTCCAGCAAACTAGAGCTGGCCCCACGGCAGCCTTTAGGTAGGGAGCTTTGTCATGGTATTTTCATAGCACTGTGAGGATAACTCAGAATAATCTAAGACACCCTTTTTGATAATTATGCCAAACATCACCAGTCCAGGCTTTAGGGGATAAACTGAAAGGGGAGGAGAAATGAAAAAAAATAAATACACTTGAAGGAGCAT